ATATATATTTTTTAATATTATGTTTGTTATTTATGTACATTCACCAATCTTGAAATGAAATGTTAAAGCATATTTTATTACAATTCCTTCCTTCAGGGATCTTAGTTAAACCCCATGCTGGTTCCCGTGGAACAATTGTCACAACTACTGAACTTAATCAAAGCTTAATATAAGGATTCAAATCTCTTGCTGCTTGTCTCTCCCCAAGCCACATCTTTGTTAAAAATCTTATGTAACAGCAGCACAAAATGTCTTCCCAAGCTTAAAACATTGTAAAAGAAAAATTGGAGTAAATATTTGTTTCCCACAAATGTCAATTCTGTAGCTCCAAAAACACCTTTCTGTCTACTGAGTTTCAAATTTGCAGCCCCAGTTGCCTTCAACACTTCTCAGACCCTACAATCATGCTCTTTCTTGGTGGAGCCCCAGATGATGATATCATCCATAGAGATATCTACACCTGGAATATGCTCATAAATCATGTTTAGTGTTGTGATACACCTCTGGAGCTGAAGCTATACTGAAAGGTAAACACAGAAATCGATACCTTCCAAATGGAGTATTTGTTGTGCACAATTTAGAACTTTCCTCTGTTAACTTTAGCTGCCAGAATCCCATGTCACTACCTCAGATCCCAGCACCAGGAGTCAGCTCTGTGCGCCTGATGCTCAGAGGCAGCTACCAAAGCCTTCAGCATTTCTTCCTTGTTCTTTCAGCACCTCCTCTGGATATCTTCCATGTCTTTAGCAGTTGTGCACCACCCTGGCCACTGTTGTGTCTTCCCCATACTGTCCCCCTCTGTACATCATTGTTGTGTAAAGTATCAACTCTGGCTGATAAAAAGAGGTATAAAGGTATTTAGGACCATCCCAGCACTTGGCTGGGCACTCCCATAGCAATGTAGCAAGGGTAAGTCCTGTGTTGCCCCTCTCCCCCTGGGTCAAGGATCCATATTGCTGCTCTTCACTTGACTAAATAAGCACAGGGTCCCAGCTGTGCTGCGGGTGGGCAGTAGGCAGTGCTGTGACAGGTGGCTGGGAGGGATGAGCTAGGCTTCTCTCCAGAAACTGTGATGGAGACTTGCTCCACTCCCCAAAAGGGTCTGGAGACCTGGGGTCCAGCCAGGATTTAGGCCATCCCCTGACTGGGCAGGGACATACATGACTTCTCAAAATTACTTCCTAATTAATGGGTGCATTGAGATATGGAATAAAGCCACCACTGCCTTTGAGGGTTATCTGAATGTGTGCTACAACACTCACTCATTCAGGAAACACTGTTGGAATTTTAATATTTTTCCCCCTTGAAACATTGAGAAAGCAAATAAAATGACCTCTTCAGGTTGAAGGTGAGACAGATAAGAATACATGCATATTTTAATAAATCTTTCAATAAATTATTCTAGGAAAGACACCAGAAAGTATATTCTGAGGATGAAAAGCAAGGCCTTTTCCCTCCTATTTCTTCTGTCATTAATTATCTAGAGACAGGTGATGAAAATGATTAGAGACACAGAAAGATTCCCATGCAGAGAAACTTACAAAAGATAAGGGAATTGATTCTTATATACCCAAAGGCACTTTATACTTCTCTGCTCTTAAGGGGCCTTAAAGTCAGCACAGCTGTAATTTATGACCAGGACAATGCTAAGTGACCTTGGTGGAAATTAAAATTAAGATAGGATTTTTTTCTCCTGCTGTGTTCTTAACCTGATTTTAAATGTTCACTTTTTTATAAAGTCTACTTTCTCCCTATCAACAATGGTTAAGCAAAGGCTCAAAAGAGGCAATTATTGGAGTTCTTCAAGGATTAGTCTTGGGACCAAATTTTTCATTAGTGATCTTGGTCCAAGAAGTCAAAGTTGCTAATGAAATTTGCTACTGACACCAAGTTGGAAGGCATCAATAGTACAGCTAGATTACCTAAAGTACTGAAGTAATAGAAATGGCAAGAAATGTATTAGTAAAATGGAAGGTCATGCAGGTAGGGACTAATAAGAACAACTTCAAGTATAACTTAAAAATTAATCAACTGCAAATGTTTGAGAAGGATAAAAGCCTTGATATACAAGTCCATCAAGGGTAGGACTCTGCCACCAATGTTATGTAGTTGTGAAAAAGACAAATGTGAGCCTAGAATATATTAAGAGAGGTATTTGCTGTGGATAGATGGATGCATTAGTGCTACTGTGCAAGGAAGTGGTGAGATCCCTAATGGACCACTATACCCAGAGACATGTGTCAGTGGTAGCAGGGGTAACAGTGATGACTTAGCCAATAGTGACTGCAATCCTTTCACCCATCTCTAAGTGGGATCACAGAGTGGTGTCATATCACCCACCCCTTGTTACACTGCTGTATATACTTCTCTGACCAGGAGTGATAAAGAAAGATAAGCTGAAATAGGTACAAAGAATAGCAACCAATATTTTCTGGTGAACAGGGAGTCTATTACATGAAAAAGACTAAAACATCTTTGTGTGTTTAGTTTAGCAAAAGGAAGGCCAAAAAGGGAGAAGAGCTATTTAAACTAAGAGAAAATATTGGCAAAGGGGCATATGGGCATAAATTGACATGTATAAATGTAATTTGGTGAGTAGAAAGACGTTAAGCATCAGTGAAAGAAAATTCTAGAATAGCCTACAACCAAAGTAACAAAGACAAAAATTATCTGCTTTTATACTGTATTTTATGACAACAGTGCATTCAACAAGAAAGGAATGTGCTCACTGTCCCAGTTAATCTTTTTCCAGTCCTATGATCCATATTCCCTTTCTCTCAGAAAAAAAGCATGTTGCTATATCATCAGACTTTTTATATACTTTAGAATGTAAGCATTACTTCATATTCAAGGGAAACTGATTATAAATTAAGAAGGTTTTAACTGTTTTTTGTTTTTGAACATCTTGAGCCCTATCCAACTTCAGTGAATGTTAATGGAAGGATCTGGTGTACAGTTCAGTGAATTGGAGTCTCCCACTTAATAAGAAAACACTTTTCAGACATGTAGAGGAAGCACACATTAAGATAAGGCTATGCTCATTAACATACAGGCTTACAGAGGATCATATAGTGCTTTAGGTCAGTTATTGCCAGGAGATGGGATGGAATTCACTCTCAGCAAGTTTGTAGTAGTAGATAGACTGGGTAGGGCTAGGATTCAGAGCAACCTAGACAAATTGGAGGATTAGACAAAAAAAATAAATAAATCTCATGCAGTTCAATAAGGAGAAGTGCAAAGTTCTGCATTTAGGACAGAATAATCCCATGTACCAATACAGACTGGGGACTGGCTAAGCAGCTGCTCTGCAGGAAAGGATCTGACCGTTACAATGGACAATAAGCTGAATTTGAGCTAACAGTGTGCCCTTGTTACAAAGAAGGTTAACAGTATACTGGGCTGCATTAGTAGGAGTGTTGCTAGCAGAGCAATGGAAATTATTCTTCCTATCTATTTGGCACTGGTGAGGCCACATCTGGAGTCCTGTATCCAGTTTTGAGCCCCTCACTACAGAAAAGTAGACAAATCATTGGCTGGGATAATCTAGCTGGGGATGGTCCTGCTTTGAACAAGGGGGTTGACTAGATGGGGGTTGACTAGATGCCTCCTGAGGTCCCTTCCAACCCTAATTTTCTATGATTCTATGATGGGGGGGGAGGTAAAGTTGCATTTGAAGCAATAAAGTTTCCACTACTCTTTAAAGAGAGATGTTTTGATATTATTAAATCACTTCTGTTATAGATGGTTAATAGCATCTTCAAAGGAGGCAGGTAGTTCCTCACATATAGTTGCTCAGCTTTGATTAACTGACTTGAAGTTGATTCAGAAGTTTAAGAGAACTGCAATGAAGATGACTAGAAATGAAAGGTAGTTGATTGAATATATTGTAGGAAATATAATTGATAGAAAGCACAAAGTGATTTGGCCTGCAACTTATTGTATAGTGTTCAACTGATGAGTAGAACTCACTGTCAAAGAAGGTCACCAAGAAAAGCAGTCTAGTGTGGCAAAATTTTAAAAAGGAACAAATACATTGATGACTGTTGTGCTAGGCTAGAGTTACATAAGCAATGGCACTGAAAAGCAGTATGAGAGAAAGGAGCCTCCTGACCACTGGATAATTCAGTAAGAAAGAAAAAAAATGTATTACTGAGAAAAAAGACACTTAAGGGAGTACAAAAACAGCAGCTAAAAACTCGAGGACAAATGTAAAAAGAAAGAACTTACTAATGAGACAGGTAACAAGTGCAGGTGCATAAACTTGGCAAATTAAAAAAGTAGAATAAACATCTTGACAAAGAGAGAGATAAGAAGTGGCGTGAAACAGGGTGCATACAAATATAAATATAGATTTTTCATATACCTGTATCTTGTAGAGACATAGGGAACTATAAATAACTTACAGTGTTTCTACCTGTCCTGGATAAGCTTCATTAAGTTGGACTGACTGTTACTTAGACCAACAGGAATGCTGTCTGAAAACAATAACTCTTTTTGAGTCTTTGCCACTAAACACAGATTGAAGGTGTGTGTTCTGTCACCTTTGGAATCTGGAAGGCCTGGCATACACTGCCGGCCTCCAAGAACACACAGCTACCACCAGCCCGTATATCAAAAGTGACAGCACCAAATACCAACCACATAAACACTCCACATTCTTCAAAACAACAATGACCATTCATAATTTTCAGCTATGCAAGCTTAGACAATACTACAAGGATATTCATGCATCCTATTTCAAAACCCAAGACTTACAGAAGTATATTTCAAGAAGGTGTATGTGTGTGCACGTGTGTGTGTGTATCTATATCTATCGATCGATCGATAGATAGATACACACACACACACACACACACACACACACACACACAGGGGTCAAAAAACCCATGGGCAAAAAAGGGAGCAGCACACGCTGGGGAAACGTGCTGCTGAAAAGCGGAGCTGGGCCACCTGGAGCCATGCTATGGCTGCCAGCTAGGCTCCACCCAACAGAATCACCTGCAGCTGCAGCCCTGGGAGTCCCCCAGGACCCCAGATAAGGCTGTTGGGACCATCACAGTGCTTGCCCCAGTCCTTCCTTACCACCCCCACAGTAACTTGCTTCATGCCAAAGCACATGTGGCATGGGTGTTCCCTGGGGACAAGTAGTGGCAGCACCAGGTGTGCCACCGCTACTTGTCCCCAGGGAACCAAACACCCATGAGGTATTTAAAAGTTGGACTTTGAAATGTTTAGGATCTTGATTTAGATGTAATGTATCCATTCTCATTGATATTACAAGAGATACCAGTCATTGGCGGGAATTACAATAACTTGTTCAGGGACAAATTAAGGAATACTGGAATATATAGAAAGCTTCTTTCCTGGAGCAGTAGGAACTGGGGTATGTGGTTTTATTTACACATATAGTTAACTTATAATCTATCTCATGCATCTATAATTAAATTAAGTTAATAAATTAATGAAATACTGTTAAAATATACTTTGTTGTGGCTTTTTTTTTTCATAGTATTGTCATTTATTGAATAGTTCTGAATTCTGAATGCCTTCGACCCTAAAGAAAGCACTGTAAAGGAATTTTGACATTGAGAGCTAGTAAGAAGAAATCTAGTTGCTTATTTATTTATAGAAAGCAATAAAAATGGCAAACTCTGGACTCTTTTGAAATAAATGAGTAATGGTACATATTACTGTCCAATGGTATCCTTTCCCAACCAGTTTCCTTTATTTAAATACACCGTGAGTGATTTACAGGTAGCTTCATTTTCTCTGGTAAAAAAAAAATCTCCACTTTTTGGATTAGTCTCCCCTCCCACTCAATCCATATTTTTCCATGATTAAAATGCAACACTACTATCTATATCTATATGTTAGTGGTGTTTAATTTTAATCATGGAAAAGTGTTAATTTTGTGTTACTGTTTTAATCCAAAAATTGGGGATTTTTTTTATCAGAGAAAACCAGGATCCCTGGTGATTTAGCATTTCTGAGGGAAGAAAACAAGAATAATAGGCAGGTTTCAACATGCTTGGAGAGAATGGATTACTGTCAAAACTTCATTGAGTTTTGCGTTCATAACCTCTTCTTGGATTCTGATTACTCACGTAAGTTAGAGTTACTTGCATCTTGAGATAGGGTTATAGGACACATTTTGCAATTTAAGTAAATTAAGTAAAGTAATATTTAAGTAAAATCTGACAGTCATACTGAAGATAATTTTTTCTTCCATTCATAACAATGTAGAGAAGCACAGGGCCCTCACACAGCTCAGGCAGTCAGGAAGGCTCCAAGAAGGCGGGGAGAGGGAATAAAAAGATCAGGCTCCTCGCCACTTTTTTTTTCCCCCTCAGTCAAGCCTGCCTGCGTGGGCTGCTGCTGGGTTGCCCAGCCCCTGAGCTGCACAGGGCCCCGTGCTTCTTTCCATGGCAGCAGCACACCCGAAACTGCCCGGGCAAGGTGCCAGCGAGTGGGTGCCACCTGGGGGACACCACCACTGTGTAAGAAAGCACAGGGGTCCCCTGCAGCTCAGGGACCTCTCAGCCCATTGACAGCTCATTTCCCCTTCCCTCCCCCCCTGACAGCAGGAGAGGCAAGTAGGCTCTAAGAATCAGGGCCCTAACCCTTGTGTACACATCGTGGGGTTTAGTTTGGTTTAGTTCTCCCTAAATTGAAATGGTGGAAACTGTGAATTTTTAAAAACCCACCATTTCAATGTAGGGAGAACTAAACCAAACTAAACCCCCGTCACATGTACAAGCACCCCATGATGACAATTAACACACACTACACTGCTTGTACATGGCATGCATTTGCTCATGTTTTAGATGCTATTACCAGAAGTAAGTGTTAAGATGAACATGTGATACTCCCCCACTAGTCTCACTAGTCTATATCCAAAACTCAAGGACATCAGGGCCTACAAGTTAAGTGCTTTAACACCCAACTTCTAGGTGTCCAACCAGATTTAAATCCTAAAGCCAGATCTAGGCATCTGGGATATAATCCTTTTTCCCTGTGGTCATTTAAACCGTGTTTTAGTATTTTAAGATGCATTTTTGCTATTTACAGGCAGGTAGCAATTCCTTCTCCCAGCAGTACGACTGTGTAACTTGGAATAAACAGAGACCAAGCACGAGCACTATAGTATATGCATGCACCAGGCACATACACAACTAAATACAAGCACCCCTTGTGAACACACAGAGGCTCCAAAATCTAAGAATGACTGTATGGCCAAGTTCAGTAGTAATTCCTTTGACTTCTGCTGTCCAAAGCCATTATGGGGGTGGAGAGAAAGCTATCTCTTATATGTTATCTTCAATAGCTGAGCACTTAAGGCATTCATATGGGGAGCCAGAGAGCCAGATGCAAAGCCCTCATCACCCATGGAGGGGTTTGAACTTACATCTCAATAGTTTTCCAGGATGGCACTCTAGCTGCCTTACCATAGACAGGCATGAATCAGGCTTTTTTTCCAACACCCCTTTTGGCATTTTGGGAAACCAAGACAGGAAAAAAGTAAGCCTAGGATAAAGCAAGCAAGTAAGGAAGGGAAGTTTCTACCTCCAAATTAGAACACTTTTTTGGATGGGATATCAGAATAAAGAGAAAGCATACCTGTACCTTTTTAAGAGAATAATTTTATTAGAAAGCTTAAGAAGAGATACCATTCAGGTCAGACAATGGTAACACAAAACCCAAGAGGGAAGGCGTATGCCAGACTGAAAAATCTCTGAGTCTTTGCTGGTTGCTGGATTCCTCATCTTCCTCATATTTACAATCACAGGTATACAGCTGTTAATGACATGCATCAATCTACACAGTATTGATATATTAATAAAAGGTAATGGTCATGAAGACACATACATTTCAGTAAAAAATTATGTTAAGGATACATATATGTGAAAAATGTATTGTCGTCTTTTCCATATCCATTGCTTATTGGCTAGTTTTGACTATTTACATTGGGTGCTGTTCCTTATGATAAATGTACGTGCACACTCTTGGGAGAAAATCTGGTCCCAGTGGGAGAAGCCTAGTACAGGACTGATCTGTACAGGAAAGACCTTGTCTTTTCTCTCTGCAGCAGCCAGGGGGAGGTCTAGGTTCCCTCAGGGAGCTAGCTTGGGGGCTGGCAGGGGACACAGGGCCAGCCCTGATACTCATGGGGCCTGGAAAGCTTACTTGGATGCAGCAGCAGCTGTGTCCTGGCCCCATGTGTATCAGGTGGGGTCCTGATATGCATGGGCTGGGAAACAGCTGTTGCTGCAGCTACCAGATCTCTCCTGCCCTATGCACTGTCACAGCCCTGGAGCTGGCGAGCCAAGCTCATGGTCGTGGTCACGGTGGGGCGGCCGGGTGGTGGCAATTGGAGCGGACAGGCGGGAGTTTTTGGCAATGGAGTACTGAGCGGCACAGAAGCGTGCGGTTTCTTAAACAAGTGGGATTTATTCGACTTACGCTTTTGAGGCGTAGGCAATGATCTTCAATTACAGTGGATAGTAGCAATAAACAAACAGAGGGGTCTGTCGGTTCACGGTGTTCACCAACAAGCCCTTGCTATCTAACCAGAGCTAGGGGTGGCTGCCTGCTGGCTAGTCCCAGAGCTGGTCGACAGCTTATGAAGGGATAAATGACTGACAGAACAAAACTGTAACTCAATGAAAATGAATGGAGAGATGGAACAATGTCAGAGTCGTGACGCCAGTCCCAAAGGACAATTGGATGGTTGAGGTGATCGCCGAGGTTGAAAGCCAGGTGAGTCATAAACGAAGCCAAAGTCGAAACAGTAGGGATGATCCGGATCGGTGGTCGATGATCGGTGCCAAAGGTAAATTGTAAGCCAGAAGATCGGTATATCAAAACAGCAATCGAGAACGATACGAAGCGCCAAGCGAGGAGGAGACCAATAGGCCTAAGAGCCTGACTGAGAGACAGCCCTGAAAGGTACAGCCTCTGTCTCCAGCTAATCGGGTCTCTCCCCCCCGAGGGAGGGGCTCCTTAACCTTTTATAACAATTTTGTGGCCAATTAGAATGCGTCCCTCAAAGAACTTTCTAGCCGAATGACATCATACTCTTAGCTGACTGAGCATATGTGAGTCTGAGCTCTCCACTGTTACCAAGCATGTGCAGGGCTGAAAAGTAGGTCAGCCTGACTGACAGCTCTTGGGGTCACCCAGGGGACACATGCTGGGTGAGCCCAATGGAAAATTCCATAAGCCTGTCTGGCGCATGTCAGCTTTAATTCTCTCTGCATTGGCAGCATTCAATCAAAATTTTCCTTGACATGCACAATCAGACATGCCACTGCCAGCCAGCCCAGTGCCCAGGAAGTCTTCGCCACCCAGCAAAGGGCTGGCCAGGAGCTACCCACCAGCCTCCTGAATTTCATATATCAGTGTCCCCACACTTAAAAATGTTGGTGGGGGTGCTTGAACTAAAGCTCATTAAATGCTCTAATTAAAGTGCTTCCCCCCACGTCCCCTTAAAAGTGCCCTTTGGCACCTAAGTCTTATCCACCTCCTATTTTCAAGTACCTAAGTCCAATACTGATAACCTCAGATTCTCTGCTCAGTGATCACATAGACATGGAGACAATTAAAATCAATTAATGCCTGAATCTTCAATACTAAAGTTCACCAGCCATCCAAAATTATGTTTTTCTTCATGCCTAGAAGAAAGTTAGTTCCTATAGTATTAAGCAATTCAGTGTGTATCTTATGTATTCATTACCTGTTCCATTGGGTCTTTAAGTCATGAGTAAGGATCCTGGTTTTCTCTGATAAAAAAAAAACACCCCTAATGTTCAATTTAAAAAATAACCCAAAATACACATTTTTCCATGATTGAAGTGAAATACTACTAATATATAGATATAGATATAGTGGTGTTTTGTTTTAATCATGGAAAATGCTTGGTCATGAGTTTCTATTTATGCATCACCTAAACTGCTCAATTCAAACGATCTGTTCTAAGTATTCTGACAGGAAAAACAGAAGGAGGTGCTTCTCTTTTTCCATTAATCCAGTAGTTCGGAGTTAACAGTACTTGTCCAGAGTATGGGAGATGTGTTCAAGTATCTCCTCTGCTTGAGAGGATTCAAAGCCTCTTCTACCATCCCTAGAAAGGTAGGGTAGCACCAGCCTATAGGCTTTCTTGGAGGGATGCTTATGTAGCCCTGTGAGGTCAGGCCAACTCTCAGGACCTAAATATTGCGCTGTTAGACAGGACGGTGTGGTGTACAAGTGCACAGGCACACACTCCAAAGTCAATTAGGTGCATACACACACACTAGGTGCATATACATACTCTAGGTGCATGCACCCCCACCAGGCATGCACACACACACTACCAATTCAGGCACATACACATCCAAAATTACCAGCCTAGGCAAATGCACACCTATCACCAATTCAAGCACCTACAAATACTGTACAGACCAAAAGAAATTAGACCAGAATCAATTACCAATACCTGCACGCCCAGTACACATATACGGATCACTAATTCATATATCATGCAGACAGTGACATACATGTGTATCAGTTCACATACATACCACTCACCTACACATATACACAGGTGAGTTCCTAACTTGTGTGTTGTGGTGGGTATGCATGTGCTTGGTGTACTTGGGATACCTGGGGAAAGGTTAAGGTAAGAGATAGAGTGAAAATTGCTGGGACTGGGATTAGAACCAGTAAACTAAAGAGACCTGGACTGAGGAGCTAAGGCTTGGGGTTACTGCTGGTGGAGACAGAAATTAAAGCTGCCAGTGCCGGGATTAGAACTGGCAGACTGGAGGGAAGTTGGAGTAACTTAAGGTTAATTGGTGTAAATTGAAAGCAGAAAGAGCAAAGGAGTGATGTCAGGGAGAAGCCCAGAAGCTGGAGCCAGAGCAAGGAGGCTACAGGGGAGCTGAGAGGTATGTGGGGAAAGGAAAACTGGGATAGGGGCTATGTGGGGGGAGGGGAGGCTGGAGAACACAGAGAGAGACAGTGAAAGAGAAGGCAGAGAGACATGGATTGTGAAGAGGTGGCAAGAGGCAAAAAGTGGCAGGAGTGAGGCTGAGAACCTGCAGAAAAGGGACAGAAAGGAGGCAAAAAGTGGTGGGAACAGGGCTGAGAGTCAAGAGGGAGAGAGACAGAGACTGGAATTTAAGATAGGGAAGACTGCCAGACCAAACAGCACCCACAGCTACAGCCCAGCCCAGACCAATGAGCGAAGCATTGCCCTGACCCCTATCGCTTACCGGGGCTCAGTAAAACACAACCCAACTTGGGGTTACAAATGATAGTGGTTTTATTGAAAAGGGAAGATGGTGACACAATATTTTATTGGTTCCTTTGCACACATACACACAGACACACACACAGACAATGGCAGCAGGAGTTAAAGACGTTTGGCGAAGGGGCTGAAGTCTGGGAGGAGAGAGATAGAGTCCAAATTGGAGGAAGAAATATGCAGGTGATATCTACCTATCCCAGGGTGAAAGTGGGTCCTCGATGGCCAGTTGGGGTCTCCTTCAGCTTGATATTGTCCAGAGGGGAGTCACCAGCCTCTGCGGTGGATAGGCAATGTGATGTGAAGGTGGTCTAATCCATGTGGAAATGGCATTCCGAAGGAGTCAGTCTTCACTACCCCTTTTTATGGGGCAGACTACCTCTGATCTCCAACGGGGAGGACCTATCCCAGCAAGGTCAGTCCTGTTCCAGAAAGTTCCAGATGTTCTTACTGAGTATGTGCAGCCTTGGTACAATGGTGGGTAGCCTCATCTTTTATTTCTTGAATGCTGAGGGTGGTTCCAATGCCTGGGTCCTTGTTCCAGGTATTGGTGTTGATGGCTCGCTCATTCAGAGGGAGCTATCTTTAGGTCTGCTGGCATTGTCTCTCAAGCACCTTCATTCATCCCCATTCATTTAGGAACCAAGTTACATAGGAGGGGTAGTATGAATCATAGGTTACACAACCGGGCATGGGGATAAGACGGAGGCTTGACATTACAAGATGGAAACTTAACATGACTTATGCTAACTTACATATATAGGCCTAAATCAGTAATCACACAATATAAAGGCAATAAATAAATAAACACAAACATAATAATTATCACTTATAAAACAGTGCATATCTATATCAGAATAGCAGGTCACTTATTTGCAGAGGGGAGAGAAATTAAACTTACTACCTAAAATAAAATGTTAAAGCTTATCCTATGTGTTAGCTTACTTATACTTATCTATAGGGAATAGAGAGGGAGAGACAAAATCAGAAATGGTTGGGGAAGGGGAGGGAATGCATTTTAAAAGAAAAAAACCTGGGGGTTTTGCTACACTTAAACATTCCTGTTGAAGCTGTCCCACTTGACATAGTCATCAGGCTGGAGAAAGAAGCTAAGAATGACACATTCGTGTAATGAGGTCAAAGATTCTTTGAAGTAGGGACTCCCACTTCTCAGATGAGTGCCCTAAGCACTCAACATGACTGCAATTCTAAAAATGGTTGTACCAGTTACCTACAGATCAAGAAATTTAAAATAAGTTATAAAAAATCTAATAGCTAGAAAAAAGTATTATCAAATGAGACTGTAAGAAGAACACGTGACTTTGGGGAAAAAAATAAAGATAATAGACATTTTTGGTATGTTATAGCCAAAGGGGCAAAACATTAGCTTAATCATTGACTAAGTCTGAAACAACTAGGGTTATTTAGTCTAGAGTAGAGAAGGCTGAAGGGGGATTTGATAATAATCTTCAAATTGGGTGATTATAGAGAGAATGGAGATGGGCTTTTTCTATGGCTGTAGGAGACAGGAATAGAAGCTATAGACTCAGGCTGCAGTATGGGAAATGTCTGACAGGACAGGAGTAGAAGTTAAATTTAGCAAAGGAAGTTTAAGGTCCCTTCTAACCCTAATTTTTTATGATTCTATACATGACCTTGTGAGGTCCCTTCTAACTGTAATTTCCTTTAATTTCCTGTAATCCTGATTCCTAGATTCTTGAAGAAACATATGGTTTATTTTTTTAACTTTCATTTGGTGAGGGAGATGACAGTTGCCTTTTGGAGGATATTTTATCTGTTAAATCACAAGCAGAGCATAACTCACCTTTGAAACTCAAATAAGACCATACATATCCTTACTGTGTAATGAAAAGCCCCTTCCTCCTGCCTTGATTTTCTTCCTCCAGATGTAATTATTGTATGTATTTACTAACAAGCACAAATTACTTAATTCTATTTTTATTATTATATAATTTATGGACAAATTTATTCTGTTGTTTTACCGAAACTTTTAATAGGGCTGTCAAACAATTAAAAATGTTATTGTGATTAGGTGCGTGATTTTAAAAAAAATAGTCACAATTAATCACAATTTTAATTGCACAGCTAAAAACTCAAAATTATACACAGGACAATTCAAAATTATGCAAAATTATGCAGGTACTTTGTATGGCTGGGGGTGTGTGGATTGTGTGTGTAGGAGGGAGTTGTGAAGGTGTGGGCTGCTGTAGGTGTGTGTGTGGGGCTTGGGACCCAGGGAGGGGGAACCCCCATGTGCCCTGGCAGGATGCAGCATACTATGGGTCAGGAGTGAAGGGCAGCAGCAAGGCTGAGGGGGCTGTGGATTGGAAGTGAGAGGCAGGGGCAGGGCACGGGCATATCACTGTCCTCCCACAATCATATTAACCTCCCATCACAGGTGTCCTCATTTTTGAAATTGGAAATATATGAACCCTACAGAAATGCAGCCAGCCCAGTGGCATGTAGAGCAACATCCAGCAGGCAAGTCTGTGGAGGGAGAGGGGAAGGTAACAAAGGGGAGGGAAAGGAAGCAGTGATGGGGAAAATCAAGGCCCCCATGGTGAGGGAGGGACTGGGTTAGATGCAGGAGTTGGGGCTAGTGTGAATGGAAGCCCAAGGTCAGGGTCATAGGAGGGAACCACGGGTGTCTTATCCAGGCGAGTGGAGCGGGTGCCTGTCCACCATTGCGCACATCCCCAGGGAAGTCATGCAGGGTATGTGCCCCCAGGATTTGTGCATGGGGCAGAGGTGGGCTGCCTGCTGTGGGCTGGGGCTTTGTGTCCTGCTGCCTTTGTCCCTGGAGCTGCGCAGCACCATATTGTGCTTCCCATTGCCAGGCAGGTAGGAGACATGCAGCCAGGGCATGACTACCATGGCAAAGGCAGCAGGGCACAGAGATCCACCCCACAATGGACAGCCTGCCTCTGCTCTGCACAAAAATCTGGGGGGCACATGCCCCCCCATACCTCTCCCAGGGGTGTATGCAGGGGACCCACCCCCCTCATACCCAGTGGCTCCATCTCACAACCTGCCCCAACCCTGGGGCCCCATTAACCTCAGCCCCTCCCTCCCTCATTGTGGAGGCCTCCATCTGCCCACCTGCTTCTTCCCTCTCCCCCTCTCTTTCCATAGACTTACCTGCTGGGCACTGCTATATATGCTGCTGGGCTGTATTCCTGGCCATGTGCATGCTGCAGCTGCACACCTGCATGCAGAGCCTGGGTGTGGGCTCCAAAACCACATGTGCAATTATTGCACTAAAATAATTAACCAATTTATTGGTTCTTGTATTAATCATGCACGTTAACCCTAATTAATTGACAGCAATACTTTTAAATAAATTACTAAATCTGTGACATAGGTGTCATCCTCTCTCTCTGACCCACATTTTTTTTTTTTGTCAAAAGTAGGACAGCTTCAGCAGAAAGAAAAGTTATATGCCCTCTTATAAACCCTTGCACTTCGGTATTCTGTATTAAGAACTATTGATGGGAGGCAAAAGATGCAAGAACTGATTACCTCCAGAAGAGGGTTTATGGTTGTATATTCCCAGCATATAGACCTAGAGGCAGGTACTTCCTGTAACCATGTGTAAAGCACCTAAGCTCTAGAGATGGCAGGATTTAAGACATAGTCATGTCCTCCATGTTCCCTGCTAGCTAACTTTGGCAGTTCTTTTCCTGACATGCTGTTTGTTGTGAATCCTTTTTAAGGTGCATGACTTTTCCAAGCACTATATGGTGAGTCTAAGCATCAAGCCCAGGGCTGTGATTTCTGCTTTGGAAGCCAGAGACCTAAAAATTAGGCACCACAGTACTATGCATTGCCCCTTCGTAGATGTAGTCTTTATTATTTTTACCTTGACACTTAATATTAAATATCTTATGTCAAGTGACATTTATATATATCCTTGAAATAAAATGAATAACCAAGTTTTGTTCCCTTCCCTTCCCCTCCCCTTCCCCCCCCCCCCCCATTTTCCGGCCTTCCGTTTTAAGGTTGCAAAGATTTTGACTTTTAATTTTAATTTAAAATTAATTTGATTTT